GAAGAGAGAGAGAAAGAGGAGGACTGCAGGAGAGCGGCGGGGAGGCAGCGACCTGGCACGCGCAGATGCGGACCCAACGCGACCCGTCCTCGTACAGCGAACGCAGCAGCGGCACCAGCCGCTCGGCGCGCACATCGACCGGCAGCGCGTTTGCAATCTCCGGCAACGACTCCACGCACGCCTTGCGCACGCCCCAAATGTCGTCGGCGGCGAGCGCCTCGTACACGGACAGCAGCCGCGCCTGCGCGAGCTCCGCCCCAACCGCGGCGGTCAGCCCACCGAGCTTCAGCGCGGCAACCTTGCGCACGCGGAAAACGGGATCGTCGGCGAGGGAGATGACCTAAGGGAAGGAAGGCGAGTAAACCTCTCAACACACACGAGGTGGTGGGGCGAGGGCCAGGCAGGCCCTCGCGACTCGACGTCTAGAAGACAGGAGCCCCACGGCATTCGAAGGGCAAGGCCCAGTGCGCGTGGGTGAGCGGTGCGATGTGTGTGTGTGTGTGCGCGCGCGTGTGTGTGTGTGCGTGCGCGCGCGTGTGTGTGTGTGTGTGTGTGTGTGTGTGTGTGTGTGTGTGTGTGTGTGTGTGTGCGCGTGTGTGTGTGTGTGTGCGTGTGTGTGCGTGCGTGCGTGTGTGTGTGCGCGTGTGTATGTGTGTGTGTGTGTGTGTGTGTGATGACCTCGGGCAGCACAAACTGGCAGCAGAGCTCGGCGCTCACGACCGGCGCGAGCGAGCCAAGCAGCTGCGTCGCGACCACCCGGTTCTCCTCCGACTCGTCGTCGTGCGCCTACGCGCTGAATGCGCCAACCTCGGGGCGGGAAGGCGATCTCGTGCAGTGTGTTCAGAGCACCGCGTGAATACGACGGATAGGAAGACAGTGAATACGGCGGAATACGACCCAATACGGCGGAATCCGTGTCCTCTCGGGCGCTGGTTGGGAGACATGAACACGTATTCCGCTTCTAGGGTCGTGCGCCAGCGTGAGCACCGCAGTCAACACGGTCGTGCCGACCTCGTCCGCCTATTCACAACAGTGGGTGTGAAGAGACGCTGTTCACACCTCTCGTCTCCTTGCCGACCTCGTCCGCCGGCAGCAGCGCCGCAATGGCGACCAGGGCCTCGGCCGCAGCGTCGATGAGCTGCGCAGATCCGCCGCCGGCCAGCTCCTGGCCGCCGCCCGCCGTCAGCATCGCGCTCAGGAGCGGGACGCACGTCTCGACCACGACGGCGTGCGCGCTCGTCTCCTCGCCCTCCACTTCGGCGCTCTCCTCCGGGGCCTTCATCAGGACAGCGCAGAGCGGCACCAGCTGCTCAGCTAGCGCCTGCCGCACGCTCAGCTCGGCGTCGCAGCTGACGTCCTTGAGGAGCGGGACCAGCTCGGACAGCGCCGCCGCGGGCCCGATCTCCTCCGCGCAGGCGCCCAGCTCCTGCACATGCACGAGCCTCTGCACCGCGACCGCGGACTGACTGTAGTATTTGACGCGCTCGAGCAGGCTGAGCGACTCGTCGATCTCGAGGACGGAGGTGTAGCCGTCCTCCTCGCCCGGATTCATGGCCATCGGCCGTACGCGCAGGTGTACCTGGTGAGTCCAAAATTGCGCTCGAGCACGTGCAGGTGCGTGTGATAGGGGGAGGTGAAGGCTTGGCGGGCTGGCGGGCCGCGGAGCCCGCGTGAACGCGCGCTCGAGGGGAAGCGGGGCGGGAAGCGCGGTGGTCAGGGCGCCTTTGCACGCAGCCGCTGTTCGGGCGTCGCTAGCGTGTGCGAAAAAAAATGTTTTATGATGATAGCACGTGAGGGCTGCGAAAGGCCTGTTTCTCGCTCGGTTATGAGCTTTGAGACTGTGTGTGCGATTTCGGTCCCGTGGGTTCTGCTTTCCGTGAAAAGCCGTGTCCAGCGCTGACCTCTGGCTGTCGTTGCTGTCTCTCCCTTCTTGAGACGTTAGGATGTGAACAGCGTGCGTCTTGGGTCCGGGGTTGTGTTTTGTGTGAACAGCGTCCGGGGTTGTGCAGAACGGGCAGGATGCCGTGGCCGCCGTACCCGCCACCACCAGCTCCACCCACTCCGCCACCGTCGCCGTCGCCTCCACCCCGGCCGCCGCTTCCGCCACCCCCTCGGCCGCCGCCGCCCCTAACGCCACCCCGTCCGCCGCCGCCGCCCCTTCCGCCGCCCCGTCCGCCTCCACGTCAGCCACCGCCACCCTTTCCGCCCTCGTCACCACCTTCGCCGCCGCCACCGCTGCCTCCACGGCAGCCGCCGCTGCCGTTGTCACCGCCGCTGCCGCCGTCATCTCCTCCTCCCACTCTGCCACCGCCGCCATCCCCTCCGCTCCCTCCGCCGTCGCCGCCTGCTCACCCACCCCGCCGGCCGCCTCTGCCGTCGCCGCCTGCTCACCCACCCCGCCGGCCGCCTCCGCCTTCTCCGTCATTCCCGCTGCCCCCGTTGCCGCCCCCCTCGCTGCCGCTCAGTAGCATGCCCCCCCGGCGGCGATGCGCTGCCGGCTCGGACCCGGGAGCCAGCCGGTGTGCCTGTGGCATCAGCTACTCCCTCTCGTTCACTGTCGGGAGCGTCGCGCCCAACTTTATGGAAACCGCATGTTGCGCTGACTTCTGCGAGAGGTGCGGCAGCGACGCCGCCTGCCACACACGCCGCGGCGGCCGCAAGCTGTGTTGTGCCGACTACATCGCAAGTGCGCGCAAGCTGTGCCTCACGCCATATGATGTCGGCTGCGTCATGGTGCAGACGCCACCGATGCCGCCACCCTTACCGCCGCCGCGCCCGCATTCGCCACCGCCGCCATCACCAGCGCCTTCCCAGCCGCCTCCATCGCTGCCGCCGCCGATCATGCCGCCTTCGTCTCCGCCGCCGCCCATGGCGCCATCGCCGCCTTCACAACCGCTGCCGGCCAGTCCGCCGCCGCTGTCACCGCCGTTCAGTCCGCCGCCCTTGCCACCGCAATGGGGGGCGCTCAATGTCGACGCGAAGCTTTGGAGAGTGAGCGAGGCCATCGGCAGAGTGGTCGCGTCGAGCTACTGGGCGATGGGAGGGGGCTTGCTCGCCTGCGCGGCCGCGCTGGTCTGGGTGGTGACCGTCGGCTATCGCGCAGGCAAGAGGCGAGAAGAGAAGATCTCGCTAGTGCGGGCCGACTCCGCGCGCAACAATACGTGGCGGCGCACGCCCTCGCTGCTGTCCGACGTTGTGGAGGAGGTGCGCGACCCCCCCCCCCCCCCCCGCCACCACCGCTCACTCATGCGCGCCGGGCCCTGCACTTTTAACGCCGCGGGGCTCCTGCCGTTTAGAGAGACGTGGAGTCGCGAGGGCCAGCCTGCCCTTGCCCCACCACCTTGTGCGTGTGGAGAAGCGTACCGTGCCGCACCGCAGGTGCGCGACCAGCGCGAGGCGTTGTGGTCGTCGCTCTCGGGCGTTGTGGACAAGGCTCCCGGCCTCAGCCGCCGCCGCAGCGACAGCCAGCAGGTGAGCGGCGCCGAGCCCGAGGACGAGGACGAGGAGGTGGCGGTCGAGCCATACTGGGCGAGCTCCACCGATTCGGTGGTGGCGCGAAGCTTGAGGCTGCACGACGAGGAGGCGGAGGGTGACGGCCGCCGCCGAGCCCGCCGAGGGGCGGGGGCTTGGGCCGCCGAGGTCCTGCAGGCAGGGCGGGAGGTCGAGGACGCGGTCGAGGACGAGGAGCGGATCGAGGTGCTGCAGGAGGAGATCGAACGAGTGCGGAGGGAGCTGGCCGCTAGGACTGCCGAGCGAGCAGGAGCGCCTTCGCCCGCACCCATCACGGCGGAAACGGCGGCGGCGGCGGCCGCTAGCGAGAGGGAGGGCGCGCTCACTCGCTGGTTGATGGACGAGTGCATCATCGCGGAGGCGGACGCGGCGCACTACGCCGAGCTCCTGATCGACGACGGCTTCGACTCGTTGCTCTCCCTGTCAGCGATGGACGACGCCGATTGGCCGTCGGCAGTGAAGAAGGGCCACCGCCGCACGATCGAGCGGCAGGCGCTCGCATCGCTCAGGGCCAGCTTATAGTTCCATGCGAAATGCCCGTGATGTGGCGAGGGACACCAACGTTTTCATTTGGGGGGGGCTCCGGAAGCCCACGGCTTATACTCCTTGCCGATGTGTGCGTGTAATATCTGACGAGTGACGTTTTGATGTTAACATTGATGACAGCATACGGGGTGTGGAGGGTGAGTTGAACAGGGGTTGTGCGCCGGGCCCTCCTGCTCGGCTCCAGCCGGTAGACAAGTCTTGTCATCAACAGAGTAGATGGATCTGACCTCGGGGCCGATGTGACCAAGCGCTGGTAGTAACGTGGTTTTACCTCACACCCATGGTCTCACAGTGTGCCGGCAGTCGCCGAGCAGTGTCGCTCACACAAGCCGCAGCACAAGTGACTGAGGGCCAGTGAGGGCGAGCCCATCGCTGTCACAGCTGTGGCAGCCGCACAGTAGGCTGTGTCAGCTGTGCAGAGTGTGTGAGCAGCAGAGGAGCTGCTCTCCAGGCTTCTGTCGCAAAGAGCTGCATGCCACCGAAAGCGCTGTCGAGGTTCGCCGAGCGCGGCGCAGGTTGGGGGACACCATCACCGACGAACGCGTTGGACTTTTCACTCCGGACAAAGACGGCCACACGCACACGAGCTGCGGTCGTGTGGCCGTCATAGCGGCGAGGCGCGGGACCGTCTGTGGCGAGGTGGGTCGCGTCCCCCGATTATGTTCAACCCAGCATCCACACCCTTTATTCTCCCCTAGTCCCTAACTTACTTATCTACAGTGCATCTCACGCGTCACGGACTCCAACCGTATCTCCCGACTATCCCACCGAGCACCACCGTAAAGCCGTACGCGGTACGGCTTTACGGTATCCCACCGTATCCTGCCGTACGTATCCCGCCGTATCCCGCCGTATCCCGCCGATGACGCCGCGGATACCGGCACTGGCACTGGCACTGGCTTCTTCCAAAGTGCAAAGAACCGTCTTTTTCAGGGGGACCGACCGGCACACCGTTTCGCGTTTGCGCCCACGAGGGCAACTCCGCGACGTCGTCATCCGAGTTCCTCGCCGTGATCATTGAGCCCCATTGAGCGGTATGCAGGAACGTACTGCTTGTCGCCATTTAAGATGGCGTCGTTGCCGTGCCGGAGCTTCTTCCTGCTGAGCAGGAAACGCGAAGTGCCCTCCTTGACGGTCAAGTGGTCGAGCACCAGCCCCGTGCCCGCATCAATCATCTTGTCGGACAGCGTGATGTTGTCGTCATTCACGCCAGTTGCGTCTGTCATGTTGCCGACCCCCTCGTTGTTTTCGATATCCTCCTCGTCCTCGCCAGTGTCGTCATATGGGTTTACAAGCACGATGCCGTTTTCGAATCGCCTGGCAAAGGTGTGCGGCGCCACACGGTAACTGATCTCGGGCCAGTCTGCGTGGTGGATGGTCTCAACCGGATCGCCAAGGGGGTAGCGAAAGAAGGCCGGCGTTTCGTAGTCGCTCGCGAAGGTGTCGTCGCGCCGGTGAACACCGTCCTTGTGCCAGTCAAAAATGCCGCTGAACCAACTCAAGTCCCACTCGATCTGCGGCGTGTGGTTGCCGGCAACCTTGCTCAGCAGATAGCCACCCCAGCAAAACTCGGAGATCTTCACCATCAGCGCCGCCTGGGCGTAGGTGAAGGCTTGTTCATTCGGAAACATCTTATGCCCGGTGGACTTGCACTGCATCGAGACGCCGAGGTTCCGCTGGAATTGGTAGAGGTTGGACTTCATGCCCTGGAGCCACTTGTCGCCTAAGTTGCGTCGTCCGGATTTCACTAATATCTACTAATACGAGGACGTCCCTGGCGGAAGAAAGGAGATTGCCGTACCGCTTGAAGCCCGCCTCCGTGTGGCCAAAGATGCCCGCCGGGATGATGCCGCCCGGGAACAAAAACGAGTCGAAGACGGTGTCGTTGTAGCGAGGTCCGTTGCCATTGGCGACAAATATGGGGTACCGCCCTGTGACCTCGTGCGCGACTTTCTGCATCGTTGAGTACTGGACCTCATACGCCAGAAAGTTCTCGTCGTCGGTGAGCGGCGCGTTGGTGTCGAAGTTCCATGGCCTCGCGCCGCGGCCCTTGGTGTCGCCCATGTTGAAGGACGGCAGCGAGAATCCACTTGAGTCGTAGTACCAGCCGTCGATACCCGGAGAGTCTTGCATGTTGGCGGCGAGAACTTCACCCCAGGAACTCATGCCCTCCTCGGTCTTCTCCGCATAGTAGATCAGCTTCGTTGCGCCGCCGTCGGGGTGGCCCGCGCTGCACGTGTTGGAGCTTGACCTGAGGGGCGAGCACTGGGATACGCCTCGGCGCAGGAGGAAGGCACGCCAACGGTGGCGAGCTCAGTGTGCGGCCGTGCGAGGAGGCGCACCCCTTGTAGATGGGCGAGGTGACCACAGCTCCCTCGGGGTGAGCCGCGGCGGTCGATCCGTCGATGCCTCTCTCCACCTTGACCCTCACGCGGAAGCTGCGGACGCCCGGCCCAAAAGTCTCGACGTGATAGGTTTCGACGCCAGTGGTGCTATTCCGCACGATAAACGACAACGTCGGGTCGCTACCATCGGACGGCCGCTTGACGAACTCGATGCGCCAGTCGTACACGCCTGCCGTCATCTGCATCCCCTTGACGTTCTGCGAGCCGTCGAGGACCGGACCCTCGGTCAGGCTCGCGCCGTCAAGGTACACGTTGCACCCCGAGTGGCACTTGAAAGTGAACTTGACCGGGCCCGAGCCAGGAACGACCAGTTTGCCGCTCAGCTCCACCAGCATCGCCGAGGATTGCTCGGAGGTCAAGCCAAGGATGCGGGACCAGTCGTCGGCGTGTTTGAATCCGTCCCTATCGGTGGATCCGACCAGGCGCTCCTCGTAGAAGGGAGTCGCCGTTGTCCAGAACTGAGGCTTCACCAGCCGCTTGGACGAGTCCTCCTCGAGCGCGGAGGCGTCCCACGCGAACACGCGTGCGAGGAGGCCGGTGCCTCCGTTGGTGTAGGTCGAGTCCCAGGCTGGTTGAGTCGAGTGGTAGGTGTCCTTCAGCTTCATTTTGTCCTTCACGTTTTGCCAGGCCGAGTCATTGAGTGGGGGCGGGTCCATATCGATGACCCGCATCAGCTCCTCTTCCACGCGGACAAAGTAGACATACTCGCGACTCATCGTGGTCCTGTCGGCGTCACAGGGGACCATTGTGTCGGCGCACGGCACGTCGGTCTCCGGATTGTCGCCCCAGCCACAGGCCTCCACGTAGCGCGACTTCGCCCGATAGTTGTACCAGGAGCACGCGGACGTGTTGAGATGCGTCGTGGAGGGCAGCAGGTTCAGCCCTCGCAGGCCGCACCCCCCGCCACGGTCGAAGTAGAAGTGTCTCCACTCGTCTGCCGTCACATAAACATAGACGTGTTTGTTCGTAGCCGATACGGCCTTCTCCAGGAGGCCGGTGTAGGTGTACCTGAGGCAGTGTGAGAAGGTACGGGGTAGGCTGATGGACCGCTTTCGCGAAACTCTCTCGGCGTGTGTGTTGTACCGGACGCCGTTGAGCTTCTGCGTCCGCTCCACCCACTCGACGTAGGTGTCATGCATACCTGTGTTGGTGCCAGTGCGCGCCAGTCCCGTGCCCAGTGTCGCCCGAAGGAGTTTTGTTGTTTAAAATTCTGTGCCGCGGGCGTTTTATCTTACTCTCGTGAGGCTGTGAAAGCACGCCCAACCTAGCGGATTTGGGTACTTGCCCCCAAGGCAAGTGCGTCTGTTCACATAAACGCACAACCCCGGGCCCGAAATCGTCTGTTCACAGCTCACCGGCGTAGTTATATCTCAAACCCGGGTCCGATGGCGGCGCGCAGGCGGCGGCGCGTAGTAGGGGTGATGGGCGCGTCGGCAGCAGAGCACGAGAAGCTCGCCGTCCCGCTGGGCCAGCTGATCGCCTCGCGTGGCCTAGACCTGCTCACCGGTGGCGGCCCGGGCTGCATGACCGCGTCTCGAAGGCTTTTGTGGAGACCGAGGGGCGCCGGTGCAATCCGTTCGGGGCGCCGCTTCTTCTGCGTCCTACGACCTCTCGTGTGGTCGATATGTTTACACATAGCGCGCGACCCCGAGAGTCTGGAGAAAGAACACAGTGAACGGAAGTCCGGCCTGCCTGTGCCAGACAGGACTGCGTCTGCGAAGCCGAAGGAGTCCCGACGAGACAGTCGAGTGAGTCGAGGGCCATAATTGTTGTGGTTCGAGACTTTTCTTTCGCCTGGGAGTGTGCGGAAAATTCCTTGAACCGCTCAACGATGCACCTCTTGCCACTCTCGAATCCGCCCACGCAGCGCGTGGTTTGGGGTGAGGATGCTATGCTCGAGCGCCTCGCCCGTCATCGGGCTCGTCGACTTGGTCGTGAGCCAGCGCTCGATCTGCTTCCGCTCGTAGGAATGGCCGTCCGTCGCCATCACCGGGTCGCTCATCACCTCGGTCGTGATGGGGCAGATGAAGTCGGCCGGCGGCGGCTCCTCCTCCCTCGGCGGCGCCTCTGGCTGGGGCGGCTCCTCCTCTCTCGGCGGCGCCTGCTCTGGCTGGGGCGGCTGCTCCTCCGCCACCCGCCTCTCCTCCTCCAGCCTCGCGCTCTCCTGGAGCGCCGCCGCCAGCTCCGCCTCCTCCGCCGCCGCCATCGCCCCCCCCTCCGCCGCCGCAACCGCCTCCGCCTCCTCGCCTTCCGGCTCCTGCGACGGCCCAGCGCCGCTCCCTCCGCCGCTGCCCTTCTTCTTCTTCTTCTTCTTGGCCTTGCGCTCCTTGGCGCGCTGCTCCGCCTCCTTCTCCGCCTCCTCATCCGCCAGAAGCGCTTCCGCGTTCCGATCCGCCGCCGCCGCCGCCTCCGCCATCTCGGCCTCTCTTGCCGCCGCCTCCGCCGCCCTAGCCTGCGCGCACATGCTCGCAGGCGAGAGGCGGACGACGGTAGTCGTGGGGTCGAAGGCCGCGTCGCCGATCTCAGAGGTGGTTGGCACGGTGACGGAGGCGAGCGAGGGGCAGCCTTCGAAGGCGGCTTCGCCGATGGAGGTAAGGCTGGCGGGGAGGGTGACGGAGCCGAGGGCCTCGCAGGCGTCGAAGGCGCAGTCGCCGATGGAGGTGAGACCGGCGGGGAGGATGACGCGGGCGAGGGCGGAGCAGCCGGAAAAGACAGCGCAGCTGATGGAAGTGAGGCCGGCAGGGAAGGCGACACGGGTGAGAGAGGAGCAGCGGAAGAAGGCGGCCTCGCCGATGAAGGTGAGACCGGCGGGGAGGGTGACGTGGGTGAGAGAGGAGCAGAGGTGGAAGGCGCTGGGGCCGATGGAGGTGAGGCCGGCGGGGAAGGTGACGGTGGTGATGAAGGGGCAGTGGGCGAAGGCGCCCATGCCGATGGAGGTGAGGCCGGCGGGGAGGGTGACGGAGGAGAGGGCGGAGCAGCGGCGGAAGGCGTGGTTGTTGATGGCGGTGAGGCTGGCAGGGAGGTCGATGGAGGAGAGCGAGGAGCAGCCCTCGAAGGCGCTGCTGCCGATGGAGGCAAGGCTGCGCGGGAAGGCGACCGAGACGAGAGAGGTGCGGTCCTGGAACGCCTTGTCCGGCAGGTGCGTCATGCCCTCGGGCAGCACCACGTGCCCGTCGGTGACGACGACCTGCCAGCCGCCCACGTCCAGAGTCTCGGAGCCGGTCGGCGAGTGCGCCGTCTGGTCGGCGAGCATCTGGTCGGCGAAAGCCACCGGGTCGTCGAGTGCCTGGACGGCGAGAGACAGTGTCCTCTTTGAAAATATGTCCGCGTTGAACCTGCTGTGGCGTCGAAGCGAAGTGTCAGAGAACTCGCAAAAGTTCGCGAGCGAAGCGAGCGTGACACTAATCTGCGACAATGTTCGAGTCCCCCGGGGATCAGAGCTGGTTGGGAAGAAAAAGGGCCCCAAGTTTTTCTTTCAATGGGGGATTGTCGCTTTCTGACACATTTATTTTTCATCTCTCCCCGCCCTGCAAAAAGTATATATGTGGGGTTGTCCCTCTGCTCAGAGGCTCCGAGCGACGCCTTCTGTGCGCAGTGCCAGTGGCGGTGCAGTCCGTTCGGGGCGCCGCTTCTTCTGCGTTCTACGACCTCTCGTGTGGTCGATATGTTTACACATAACGCGACCCCGAGAGTCTGGAGAACACAGTGAACGGAAGTCCGGCCTGCCTGTGCCAGACAGGACTCAGGAGTCTTCAGGCGGACGGGGAGACAGTCGAGTGAGTCGACGGCGATAATTATTATGGTTCGATCTTTTTCTTTCGCCTTGGAGTGTGCGGAAAATTCCTTGAACCGCTCAACGATGCACCTCTTGCCACTCTCGAATCCGCCCGCGCAGCGCGTGGTTTGGGGTGAGGATGCTATGCTCGAGCGCCTCGCCCGTCATCGGGCTCGTCGACTTGGTCGTGAGCCAGCGCTCGATCTGCTTCCGCTCGTAGGAATGGCCGTCCGTCGCCATCACCGGGTCGCTCATCACCTCGGTCGTGATGGGGCAGATGAAGTCGGCCGCGGGCGGCTCCTCCTCCCTCGGCGGCGCCTCCGGCTGGGGCGGCTGCTCCTCCGCCACCCGCCTCTCCTCCTCCAGCCTCGCGCTCTCCTGGAGCGCCGCCGCCAGCTCCGCCTCCTCCGCCGCCGCCATCGCCCCCCCCTCCGCCGCCGCAACCGCCTCCGCCTCCTCGCCTTCCGGCTCCTGCGACGGCCCAGCGCCGCTCCCTCCGCCGCTGCCCTTCTTCTTCTTCTTCTTCTTGGCCTTGCGCTCCTTGGCGCGCTGCTCCGCCTCCTTCTCCGCCTCCTCATCCGCCAGAAGCGCTTCCGCGTTCCGATCCGCCGCCGCCGCCGCCTCCGCCATCTCGGCCTCTCTTGCCGCCGCCTCCGCCGCCCTGGCCTGCGCGCACATGCTCGCAGGCGAGAGGCGGACGACGGTAGTCGTGGGGTCGAAGGCCGCGTCGCCGATCTCAGAGGTGGTTGGCACGGTGACGGAGGCGAGCGAGGGGCAGCCTTCGAAGGCGGCTTCGCCGATGGAGGTAAGGCTGGCGGGGAGGGTGACGGAGCCGAGGGCCTCGCAGGCGTCGAAGGCGCAGTCGCCGATGGAGGTGAGACCGGCGGGGAGGATGACGCGGGCGAGGGCGGAGCAGCCGGAAAAGACAGCGCAGCTGATGGAAGTGAGGCCGGCAGGGAAGGTGACACGGGTGAGAGAGGCGCAGCGGAAGAAGGCGGCCTCGCCGATGAAGGTGAGACCGGCGGGGAGGGTGACGTGGTTGAGAGAGGAGCAGAGGTGGAAGGCGCTGGGGCCGATGGAGGTGAGGCCGGCGGGGAAGGTGACGGTGGTGATGAAGGGGCAGTGGGCGAAGGCGCCCATGCCGATGGAGGTGAGGCCGGCGGGGAGGGTGACGGAGGAGAGGGCGGAGCAGCGGCGGAAGGCGTGGTTGTTGATGGCGGTGAGGCTGGCAGGGAGGTCGATGGAGGAGAGCGAGGAGCAGCCCTCGAAGGCGCTGCTGCCGATGGAGGCAAGGCTGCGCGGGAAGGCGACCGAGACGAGAGAGGTGCGGTCCTGGAACGCCTTGTCCGGCAGGTGCGTCATGCCCTCGGGCAGCACCACGTGCCCGTCGGTGACGACGACCTGCCAGCCGCCCACGTCCAGAGTCTCGGAGCCGGTCGGCGAGTGCGCCGTCTGGTCGGCGAGCATCTGGTCGGCGAAAGCCACCGGGTCGTCGAGTGCCTGGACGGCGAGAGACAGTGTCCTCTTTGAAATATGTCTGGGTTGAACCTGCTGTGGAGTCGAAGCGAAGTGTCACAGAAACTCCAAACCTTCGCGAGCGAGCGAGCGTGACACTAATCTGCGACAATGTTCGAGTCCCCCGGGGATCAGAGCTGGTTGGGAAGAAAAAGGGCCCGAAGTTTTTCTTTCAATGGGGGATTGTCGCTTTCTGACACATATGTTTGATCTCTCCCCGCCCTGCAAAAGCTCGATGTGTATGTGGGGTGTTGTCCCTCTGCTCAGAGGCTCCGAGCGACGCCTTCTGTGCGCAGTGCCAGTGGCGGTGCAGTCCGTTCGGGGCGCCGCTTCTTCTGCGTTCTACGACCTCTCGTGTGGTCGATATGTTTACACATAGCGCGCGACCCCGAGAGTCTGGAGAAAGAACACAGTGAACGGAAGTCCGGCCTGCCTGTGCCAGACAGGACTCAGGAGTCTTCAGGCGGACGGGGAGACAGTCGAGTGAGTCGACGGCCATAATTATTATGGTTCGATATTTTTCTTTCGCCTTGGAGTGTGCGGAAAATTCCTTGAACCGCTCAACGATGCACCTCTTGCCACTCTCGAATCCGCCCGCGCAGCGCGTGGTTTGGGGTGAGGATGCTATGCTCGAGCGCCTCGCCCGTCATCGGGCTCGTCGACTTGGTCGTAAGCCAGCGCTCGATCTGCTTCCGCTCGTAGGAATGGCCGTCCGTCGCCATCACCGGGTCGCTCATCACCTCGGTCGTGATGGGGCAGATGAAGTCGGCCGCGGGCGGCTCCTCCTCCCTCGGCGGCGCCTCCGGCTGGGGCGGCTGCTCCTCCGCCACCCGCCTCTCCTCCTCCAGCCTCGCGCTCTCCTGGAGCGCCGCCGCCAGCTCCGCCTCCTCCGCCGCCGCCATCGCCCCCCCCTCCGCCGCCGCAACCGCCTCCGCCTCCTCGCCTTCCGGCTCCTGCGACGGCCCAGCGCCGCTCCCTCCGCCGCTGCCCTTCTTCTTCTTCTTCTTCTTCTTGGCCTTGCGCTCCTTGGCGCGCTGCTCCGCCTCCTTCTCCGCCTCCTCATCCGCCAGAAGCGCTTCCGCGTTCCGATCCGCCGCCGCCGCCGCCTCCGCCATCTCGGCCTCTCTTGCCGCCGCCTCCGCCGCCCTGGCCTGCGCGCACATGCTCGCAGGCGAGAGGCGGACGACGGTGGTCGTGGGGTCGAAGGCCGCGCCGATCTCGCAGGTGGTTGGCACGGTGACGGAGGCGAGCGAGGGGCAGCCTTCGAAGGCGGCGTCGCCGATGGAGGTGAGGCCGGCGGGGAGGGTGACGGTGGTGAGGGCGGAGCAGCGGTCGAAGGCGCAGTCGCCGATGAAGGTGAGACCGGCGGGGAGGGTGGCGGAGGAGAGGGCGGAGCAGCCGGCGAAGGCAGCGCTGCTGATGGAAGTGAGGCCGGCAGAGAAGGTGACACGGGTGAGAGAGGCGCAGCGGAAGAAGGAGGCCTCGCCGATGAAGGTGAGGCCGGCAGGGAGGGTGACGTGGGTGAGAGAGGAGCAGAGGTGGAAGGCGCTGGGGCCGATGGAGGTGAGGCCGGCGGGGAAGGTGACGGTGGTGATGAAGGGGCAGTGGGCGAAGGCGCCCATGCCGATGGAGGTGAGGCCGGCGGGGAGGGTGACGGAGGAGAGGGCGGAGCAGCGGCGGAAGGCGTGGTTGTTGATGGCGACGAGGCTGGCGGGGAGGTCGATGGAGACGAGCGAGGAGCAGCCCTCGAAGGCGCTGCTGCCGATGGAGGCAAGGCTGCGCGGGAAGGCGACCGAGACGAGAGGAGTGCGGTCCTGGAACGCCTTGTCCGGCAGGTGCGTCATGCCCTCGGGCAGCACCACGTGCCCGTCGGTGACGACGACCTGCCAGCCGCCCACGTCCAGAGTCTCGGAGCCGGTCGGCGAGAGCGTCGCCGTCTGGTCGGCGAGCATCTGGTCGGCGAAAGCCACCGGGTCGTCGAGTGCCTGGTCGGCGAGAGACATATGTGTGTATATACATCATCTGTAATTGCAGGCAACAATTGTAAGCTGTGCCGGTCCGGGCTGCTGGCTGGCGTGTATTTTTCTTCTTTTGAAAAGCTACCCGACTCGGGGGGGGGGAGGGAGCCGGTATCGACGAAAGGGAAAGCTAGCAGGAGACGGTGCCCAGCCCTACAGGTAGCGCCTCCTACACACACTTTCTGCACATGCGCGCACTTCCAGTAGCGGCGCACACGAAGCCGAGCACCCGAAGATCCCCGAAGTCGGCACATACAGCTCTATCTGACTAACTAACAACTTACTACTCATATTAAACACGGCCACGCTCATACACCATTTTGGACAGAGCTTATGTAGCGAGCACAATCGTCATGCTCTAAGGTAGAAAGGGTGGGTAAACTCTTCGGGCGGGCGGGCGGGCGAGGCTGACGTATTTTGGACAATCCACCTACAACATACATGTGCCAGGGTTCACAGACCTTGTTATTGACAAGAAAATACGTCCTATGGCGCTTTGCGCTGGTCTGTGAGAGGTTGAGGTGCGAGCCCTGGAGGCCCTGGGGATGGGGGGAGACTACCCGCGGGCCTAGAAGGCCCGCGCGCAGGGGGGTGGGACATTGAGATTGAAGGCGGAGGTGGAGGCGGCGGAGGCTCGGCGAGCACGGCTGGGAGCGGCAGAGGGTTCAGGATCCGGGCAAGCGCGGATCTTAGAAGAGGGGTGGCTTTGGTTGGTCACGATCGGGACGGATGACACGTCTGATGCAGACATGCGGTCACCCTCGATTCCTGTTTGTTGAATGTTGAAGCCCTCTTCGATGCAGTCGCAGGAGTGATAACCCATCGAGGTGGGAGCCGCCTGCGGCATACTGAATCCTCCACCAGTGGCGCAAGCCCGCTCGTCCCGACGCTCGAGCGACTCGTCCACCTTCCCAGCCACGCCCTGCACAGCAGCATGGCCATCCTCCTCCTCCTCCTCCTCACTGTAGTTGTCCCACCCCCGTCGTCGGAGTCGTCGCCACAGCGCTCGAAGCGGCAGCAGAGCTCCTCTTCCTCTGCTTCCTCTGCTAGCAGCTGCGCCAGCACTGCCTCCCACTCAGGGTCGGCAGCAGAGCCAGCATCGCTTTGAGCAGAGCAGCGCATTGCCACGTCCTCGTCGCAGAGCTCCACCGCGGCGAGAGACGTGGTGACAGTGGCGACCGACGTGCCAGTGGCGCGGCTGGCATCGCCAGCAGCGAGGCCGCCAGCATCGCCGCCGCGCACCGCGGCGTGGGGCGCAGCAGCGTGCCGTTCGGCCATCGTGTTGCGACATCCGACCTGCTTCACAGACCTTGAGCACTTGAGCACTGGATAGGGTCGATTCCGCATGGTACGGGACCCCTCGATCGTCTCGCACCCTCACTGGTGTGTTCATTGGGGGGGGTCATAACAAACACGGTACAGGATTGAGGTATTGACAAGAAAATACGTCCTATGGCGCTTTGCGCTGGTCTATGAGAGGTTGAGGTGCGAGCCCTGGAGGCCCTGGGGATTTCACACAACCTCCCAACACAACCGCCTGTGGCAGGTGTAGGTATTTCTTGCTTGGCCGTACGCCATGCTGAAATTCTGGAAAAACCTGGCCGGCCCCTGCCCTGCCCCTACCTACCTACCTACCTACCTACCTTACTTATGGGAAACTAAAAAAGAAATCAGGGGATGGGTGAAGGTGGGGTATACTATACCAACAAAGTGATGGCTGGTGGTACTCTCCTGCAACCACAGTCCTTCCTGTGCCATGGCAGGCCACTCTCAAGCCCTACAAGGAGAGAAGCCCTACAAGCATCTCTCTCCAGATCACCCACTTGGGGAGGGTTGACATCGTGATTTCCCCGGAAATTTTCTTTTTCTGTTGTGAAAATTCCGGCGTGGAGAGAGGGAAAAACCCGACGGGAGGGCCCAGACCTACCCTACCACCCCGGCGAACGGCCAAGCAAAAAGGCCAAGCAAAAAGAATTTGAGCTTAGCCTTCGATGTTATGAAACAACGCAAGGCGGACATGGCATATCGCTCTCGGGCTCACAGACATCCCTCACACCCGCCGCACACCCGCGCCCCCGCGCGCGCCCCACCTCGGCCGGGAGAAAGGGGAGTGACAGTTTGGGATGAAAGCCCGAGTATGTTGAGTCCTGGCTCAACAACGCAGATAACAAGAGGGGGTGGTCCGGCTCCCAAGTCCGGCTCACGCGCCTCGAGCTTACCATCTACCGCACTGAACACTTTCGCCCCCTCGCTCCCAACCCATCCACCCCGCCCCGGGCCGCGCCGCGCGATCTCGGGCGATCTCGCGCGATCTCGGGCGATCTCGGGGCCGCGCCGCGCTATCTCGGGCGATCTCGCGCTATCTCGGGCGATCTCGGGGCCGCGCCGCGCTATCTCGGGCGATCTCGGAGCGTCGCTTGCGCGGCGTCACACCTGCTCAAAAAGGAAGGAGGTTGGAGGCAGGAGGTCACGCCCCATCCAGAGCGCCGTCGTCGCCGGGTTTTTGGCCCCCGGGTCGTCGCCCGACGGTTGCTAAAAGACTCCCGCGAAACCCGTGAACTAGCCGGGGCAGTCGGAGAAGGGGCAACTCCGTGCACTGACGGTCGGCCGTCAGAAAACACGCCTCCGTGGCTCGGGTTACACCAATCCTCGCTACCCAACGCGGCCAAAGGATATCCACCTCGAGAACCTCGAGAAAAGAATTTTGAAATATACACCGACCTGTGGCGCAAAGCGGCGCCGACACCGCGACATGGGCGGAGCTCGCTGGGCTGCTCACCGTGGCGCAAAGCGGCCGCCGCCGCCGTCGCCGCCGCCGCCGTCGCCGTCGCCACCGTCGCCGCCGCTACCCGAGTGGCCGCCGCCACTGTTGCCGCCGCCGTCGCCGTCGCCACCGTCGCCGCCGCTACCCGAGTCGCCGCCGCCACTGTTGCCGCCATCGACGCCTTCGCCGTTCGCACCACCGCCCGCGTCGCCGTCACTCCCGTCGCAGCCATCCCGCGGTCCAACTCCTTCTGCTTCGCCGCCTAGATTGCACATGCCGGAAGCTCCACCATCGCCGTCGCTGCCGGGAGACTATGGCTCGGGTGATTCCACGGAGGAGGAGGCTTCGGCGTCCTCCCCTCGACCGCCGCCGCCTCTGCTGCCTCCTCCGCTGCCTCCGCCTCCGTCTCCACCTCCGCCGACCCTGCCTCCGCCGCGCCCTCCAGCCCGAGAACGAACGGCTCACTCTCTCTCGCCGTTGCCGCCGCTACAGCCGCCGCCTCGACCTCCGTCATCGCTGCCGCCTCCCTCGCCGCCGCTGTGGCCGCCGCCACCGCCGCCGCCGCTGCCCCCGCCGCTGCTGCTGCCGTTACCGCCGCCGCCGCCGCCGCTGCCGCCGCCGCCCCCCTCGCCGCCGTCACCGCCGCCGCCTCCTTCGCCTCCCGCCTCCCTCGAGCAGGCAGAGTGGCTCGAGGAGCTGCGGCGCGCACGCTGCGGCGAGGCTCCGGCGGCGGTGTGCGGAGGAGTGACCGAGTGGTGCGAGCGGGACGTGGTCTGCCTGAGCAGAGGCGAGGCTGAGCCGAGATTGAGCCGAGATTGAGCCGAGATTGAGCCGAGATTGAGCCGAGATTGAGCCGAGATTAGACGAGTTTGAGCCGAGATTGAGCCGATATTAGCCTAGATTGAGCCGAGACTGAGCCGAGATCTGGCCCTCCTGCTCTGCTCGAGCGGAGGCGCCCCGCCGCCCCCGTCAGCCAGACAGCCAATCGCACACACACCTCCGAGCGGCCAAAGCTCGGCTAAATCTCAGTTAGACCGCCAACCGCCGGCCGAACCCGGCTAACCCCGGCACTCGCCCGCCGCTCTCAGGAGGGCTCGGCTGCAACGCAGGCAACTCGTCCGCCTGCCGCTTCTGCGGCTTTGGAGAGTACCTGAGCTGCAAGCAATCCCGCCGCAATCCCGCCGCAATCCCGCCGCCGCCGCGGCCGCCGCCGCGGCCGCCGGCCCATGCTGCGCGTGGGCACGCCGCCCGAGAGGGCGAGCGGGCGCAGCATTTGCCGTACCGCCCCATGGCAGCGCAGCACCGCCCCTCCGCCCAGGCCGGGCCGGCTGGCCCTCGCGGAGGGAGGGCGAGGGGGGTCTAGATGCGGCAGACCGACCCAGACCTCCCCATACCCCGCCACACCACCCCACACCTCCCAGATGCAGAACGCCGGCCCGCGTCTCTGATACGCACCTCTGTACACGCGGGAGACCGCCCCCCCCCCCCCCCCCCCTGACTCGGGGGCGTGCTCGTGGGTTAGGAGGGGGAGCCGTCGTGCGGCGGCGCAGCGGGCGGTGAGGGCTGCCGCCTCGCACCAGGGGGCAGCCGGGGGGGGGGGTGGGCGGACTCGAGCCGCGCTCTTGCCGCGGGGGCGATCGCCGCGCCGGTCGCGATGGCGGTGGCCGCTGTGCTGGCGAGGCGTCGCTTCTGGAGCTCAAAGTCGTACCACTCCGTGTCGACGGGCGGAGCGGGAGGGGAGGCGGGAGGCGAGGGAGGCGGGATGCTGAGGAGGACGCGGGGTGCCGACGTGCGGGTACGCACGCTGAGCAGCATCATCGAGGAAGAGGACCATTGCCCTCCGGGCGGTCTGGCGGGGGTACGCCTACGCGCGAGCCCGTTTGGCGTGCACAGCGAGAATATAGCCGCATGATCTTGCCCACCACTGCGCTCACTCACACCCGAGCTCGCCGTGATCACAGCGTGATCACTGTTTTGTGAAACGACAAAATGTACGTGTATGGACCCTGCACACGGAATATAGTCCTCAAAGGATTAAGTTATAAATTAAGATATACGGCTGCTGTGTATGGCTATGGGCAGTGGGGGCGGGGGCCCCCATTCAATCGGGATCGGAGAGTCTCTCCGGCACTCCGCCCGCCCCCGGGGCCAGGACAGACATGCGAGGACATCGGATTAAACGGGACATGGCCTCCCAATCCCTTCTCCCGAGGAGAGACGATGCGTAGTTGACACTGATCTGGCTGATCCATGCGCAATCGAAAACTTCGGCAGCCGCCGACCCGCCGCCCGCGTGCCCCCCCCCCCCCCCCCGGCACGACGCACACAACAGCACGCGCCCTTCTCTCCGAGCCTCACCGATCTGTGAAAGCGCGACGCCAACCTGCCTACTTCTTCTTGGGGACGGGGGGCGGCAATCCCTTGCCGTAGGTCTTCCAGCCGGCGGGGTTGGTGCCTGTCCCGGGCCCCGAGGGTGAGAGTGCCCGGCGGCATAAGAAACCGGCATGCAACTCCCTACGGGGGGCCTACAAGGGTCGTCTCGGCTCGTCTCGGCTCGGCTCGGCCCCTCTCAGTCCCTCTCGGCCCGTCTCGGCCCGTCTCGGCTCGTCTCGGTCCTGCAAGGCCGCCGGAACTGCCTTCCTTGCCGACCGGAGGGTCCTGGAAAAACTCTGACTCGAGAAGCCCCTCGGGCGCCTGGCGAGGTGGATGGGGTGGGGTGGGGGTGGCCCGGGGCTGGGGGGAGGGTGTGATAGGAGGGGAAGCTTTGTTGCCGGCGTATGGCAAGTGGGGGTGCCCCTCTTCGCCTACCAGCACCCCACCCGCCGCAGAGGAAGACGCCAGGG